ACTGTAGGGTGTTGAACGGACTGTATCATTTTAAAGCAATGCTGTTATTTGAGAGCCTTGAACTCTGGATGATGACAGATGAGCTTGAAGTGAACTTTGATTTTCAGTCAACTCCAGTGGTAATATACAGTTGCTTCCTTTTCTGAATATTCTGTGTCCTACCGCAATTTTACAGACAAATACACTAGAAAGTCATAGCATAACGAAAACCAACCTTATTTGTCCTAACATCATGTCTTTCATACATTTTATTGTCATAGGCAAGACTAGGCCGCTTTTGAGGATCTGTAACAGCTGCACCAAAGGAAAATACTAGACATATAAGTAGTTAATCAAGGCACATGCACCTATCACAAACAATTATTCATCAAGTAAACCCTCACTTCAGTATCTTAAATTATTGCATGCATTAGTCCTTCTAGTCGAGTTTGCAAAACTTCACATTGGTCCCAAAATTTGGAAACATTCATCGTTGTCCGTAAAAATGTATAGTCCAATGTGAAGGGTGTACCACAAATATAGCAACAAAAGCGGAGATTAAGCAAATTTATCAACTAGAATGATCAACAGATGCTTATCAGATTAAAATGAGAGTTCATTCTTTAATCATCACCAACTTATAACGTAAAAGTAATGCTTTTTAAAATCCTTTAATGTTGAAAAACAGCCAGAAAGATGACAAGAAAAGCAAAATAAGAACATTACACCCCTTTCTGATGATACACTTAAACAGAACACCCTAGACACTAGTTGATCCCATTACTGCTTCACAAAATAAAAGCCACATTCAAATAAAAAATTGAAAGTCCGTAGTTCACATCAATACCATGAAACCTATGTACCAACATACAAAGAAAAGTCATTAAACAAAGCATGGAAGACAAGTTCGGTAAACAGTTGAATTGCATATCCCATAAAACCCTAATAAATTAAAAAAAGAAAAAACATATAAACAGGAATTAAAAAGAAAACACACTATTATACATTGATAGCGGTCCTAAATTCAACCGAGATACACAACCATCCACCTAGTCAAAGAACCAAAGACCATACCTAAGGGTGCCCCAAATGCATCTGGCGGCAACGGATCAAACTCCACTCCAAGAATAGGTCCATCTTCTCTTAAAGGCTCCCCCAACTGAGCCTCCACACAAGCAATTGCTCTAAGCTCCATTATAGTCTGTGGCGACTCATAGTACCCCCTAGGCACCACATTCCTCAACTCCGAACGGGTAAACGGACTGGACCCTGAACCCGACCCGGATCCGTATTCAGCACCCACTTCAGAAGCCAGCTTGGGCTCCTCAACCGGAGAATCAGTTAACGCCGCAGCCTTACGCAGCTTTTTCGACGGCAAGTCCTTCTTGTCCTTCAACCGCCGGTGACAGAACCACATCTGCAACTGCCGATCCGACAACCCCAACTTCTCAGACAACTCTGCTCTCATCATCTCGGACGGGTAATTCTCCACTGAGCAAAAGTACAAAAATTAAAAAAATAAAATAAAAATCAGTGAACAATAAACCTATAAATTGAACAAGAAATAAAGGTTAACAAGCACAAACCAGCATAAGCTTTCTCGAGCGTTTCAAGCTGAAACGGTGTCTTCATCTGGCGCTTGGGCTTGCTCTGACCCTCACTAGAATTTCCAAATTTGCTGTTACTTTCATTGTTGTTGTTGTTGTCGTCATTGCTGTTTTCTTCCCTCTTCACCTCGTTGTTCTCTGGCTCCGCCTCCATGGATCGAGATCGAACCACTTTTCCCCTTCAAACCCTAAGAATCCACAACGAAGCCACCAAAAGAAACACAACCACGCAGCACAGAGAGGAAGGGGAAAAAATAATTAGGGCAACTGAATGGAATCGATTTTAGTGTTTCTTTGTTTTTATTTATTTTTGTCATCTCCTTTTCTCTTTGGAAATCAAAAATTCCGTGATAGTCAAGGAATGGAAAGGCACAGAATTATTATCCTTTGATGAAAAATAAATAAATGGCAACACGATAATTTAAATGGAAAAGATAAAAAGAAAAGCAGCGTGTAATAAGAGATTGAAAAGATAGAACAATGAAGATGAAGAATAAAAGAACAAAATCCAAAACAAAATAATAAACCAATAATAATAAAAAGGGTGATAATCCGAAACCAAAAATAATAACCAAACAACAACAGTTCCTCTTCTTGACTACTATAACTCCTCTGCCACCTTTCATAATAATTTCTTCTAATTATTAATTACAATTACGATAATAATAATCTCAATCTGTTTTTCTTCTTTTCTTTTATTTTATGAACGAACGGTGTGATCATCTGATGATCGTGTCAAACAGGAGGGCCAGCTAAAAAACAAAACCAAACCCGAAGAAAGAAGGGTGTCCTTTTTTTCTCTTTTCTTTACGTTTCCAAATTTCCTGTTTTTTTTTAAACCAAAATGAGATGTTTCTCTCACTGCGTGTGTTTGTGTGCATCACTTTCTCTCCCCCACGTTGTTTTAATTCCATGAACTTTTTATTCTGAGCTTCTTTCTTGTCTCGGGTTTGATTTTTCTTTCGTTGAATTTTCTTTTGCCTTTTTTTTTCATATTACTTTAGTTTCGGACGTAACTTTGGTCAATTGGAGAGAGAAGAATTACTGAATGTGTTTTTGTTCAAGTTGGTGCGTTGGATTGGTTCTTTACAAAGATGATTTGGTTTCCAAGGCTCAGTTTTGGTGATTCGGTATCTTCGGCGTGCTATGATCGAATCGATGTTTAAGGTTTGTGTTTTTGTGGGGCCCGTTCTTGTTCCTGTGGCTGCCTAACAGCATCGAGTTGGGCTTCTTTTAGGACTTCCAGTGCTTTTGGGCCTCGGATCAAGATTCTGCACTCTTCAAACGCTGCTCTCTTCCATTCACCGAAAGAAACCATTTTTTTTTCTTCTTACAGGAAAATGAAAGTTCATTTACACTGAGTTCAATCTTGAACCCAAAATAGTAATTTAAGTAAACAATCAGATACGATTTCCCAATGTGTGTACTTCTACAACATTTAATGGTTTGCAGTTCAAAATTATATTTTTTAGTCTTGGTTTAAGAGTTCGTGACAATATCACACGTGTTGGTTGGTGTGTGGAGGACTCTTTCTAAGTTCTGGAAATTTGTTGAATTGATTAATGGCAATACGTTATATAAATGGGAATATTCAACTAATGGTCAAAGAAATTCATAAAAAGAAACAGAAACTAATGGTCAAAGGCAGAAAAGGGTTCAACTAACGAAAGTTTGACAATGATTGTTAATGTGGCCGATCAAGTCAAAACCTTGCAATTTGTAGTGAGTGAAAAAATTGTCCTTTTTATGTTTTGATAATCATATTGGTACAAAATAAACTACATCATTAATCTTACCGAATGACCAACATGTGGTTGTTTTAATTAGTACATGCTTGGTTCTCTCCGGGAAGCATCTTTGGTTAAAATTTTATTTGTAAATAAGGAAAAAGAACTATAGTAATAGTTATAGGTTTTTATTCTTTTTAGTTTAATCACAATCCAATTATATCATAATTAATATATATTGGTTTGTTCGTAGTTGTACTATACCTGGTGACCGATCAGTTAAGGAGAGTCCGGAGTCAAAACAAACAACCGACCGCCTGTCAGACACACCAGTCAGGAAAGATAAATATTATTAGTGATCAATTAATACGTTTAATGGTTATATTAAATGCGAATATACGTTATTTATGACTAATTGACAGATCATGTTGCACAAGAATATGATATTAGTGGACAGTTAGCACGTACATTAGTAAGTATTATTGGATTTATTGTCATATCAAATAATGAGTTTAATTGCTATAAGCCCTATAAATATAGGGTTAATGCCCAGGTAAAGACACATTTATCTATGATAATAAAATATAGACCTCTTTATTAAACATATCTGACTTGAGCATCGGAATGTCTTTTACAGGTCAACCATCCATTGGAGTGGATCAAGTTCTCTAAGAGGATTGAAGATCAAAAGAATAGCAGAGCAAGGAAGAACGACCGACCCTCGGACAAATTCAACCGAAACCGTAGTTATTATTAATTAAATGTTAATCCGACTATTATTTTGTAATCGATTAGATTAGGATAACTGATCGATAAATAATTAGTTCAAGATTATCAGTTTAAGTTGATCAACTCGATAGTTATCGATCTAAAAATAATTGGTATAAAATGGTCAATTAAATAATGATTAATTTAGGTAATCAAACTAAGAATGATCAACTCAATAAATGATCTATTCAAGGGTAATCGATAAAAAATAACCAGCTTAATTGATTTATCCTGACTTTTATATATATATATATAATTCTTTAATTTTTCTAAATTGAAGTAATTTTAGTCTAGCACTCATTTTCAGCTGTTAAGACAAAATTTTAGTAAATATGTTATGAAATTCTGTTACTAATAGATATGTGTTTTTTTAGTACCGTTTAAAGTCTTTTGGAGGAAACTAATAAGTTTTATTTACTTTATTAAAATATGTATGAATCCTCTATTTTATCTTATAATAAATACATACATAATCTAATTAATGTTATCTTAAGTTTTGAAAATAACAGTTAAATAGAAATAAAATAGATAAAAGAAACTTTTTAATAAGCGTGATTGTAATAATAATTGCAGATAGGATAATAAATTATGTTTGTATGTTTATGCAAATCAAAATTACAGATTCACAAAATGATAGAGATTAAAAGTGAATTTATTTTGTGATTGATAATTAATGATTATAGTTATAATCATGAGTATATGTCAGACATAATAAATTATAGTAATTAATTCATTTGACAGCTAAATGAATTAAACAAATTATACGTAGTATATGTAGATAGCAACAGCGTCAGTAGTTTACCATCTCTTTAATATAACTATTGATTCATTTAATTACATAATAAATGTGTAATGATTCAAGTAGTTAAATTTCTTTTACATTTTCAACATTCATGCGGAATGAGACACACCTACGTATTGACATATTATGGAGGAAAGACATAGTTTATACAAGGCAGTGAATCCCTGTCGTGAGATATAAAACTATCGAGGAAAGACATAATTTATACAAAGCAAGATTCATTTCATTGAACAGCTGTTCCAATAATATAAGTAATTTGTTCCAGACACAAGCCGAATTCATCCCGTTAAATTACAGAAATCGGTGACTGAGAAACACGAAGTACATGCAGTGTAAGAACATAAAAGATGATTAATTTGTTGAAAGGGGGAAGCCAATTCCATGTCTCTGTGTAGGAAACACAACAAAGAACATGCTGCCGAAAACGCCAATTCCCACTGGCAATGCCGTGAGGATTTCCTGTATCTCAGTCGAGGGTGCTGGAAAGAAGCAATTCAACACATTTTGATCGAACAACGCAATTGCTGCAAACACCAAAACTGACATAACTGCATGCATGATATCTATGAACTTCAGGCAATATTTTGCAGCAAGTTGAGGTGGAAGGGTGGTTGATCCGTCAATGACCCACAAGCCCCCGAGGGTGGCAAACCCATAGCAGATGTTCCCCTTGTTGTCTCTGAAGCTATCGGTTAAACATAACAGGAAGCAGGAAGCAGCACAGAGAGATACAAGTGCAGCAGTCATGGTCTTGCTGACAGAGTCACAGTTGCCAACGTTTGAGAAGATCGGGGAGAGAAGTTGGAAAGCAAGGACTGTTCCAGTTGGTAAAAGGTTGGCCAAATGAGCAGTGCTCTGAAATGTCTGACTAATGGCTTTCTGAATCAGATTCCTCTCTGCTTCTGGTACCTCACTATTTCTCAGCAGTGGTACCCTTTCTTCATCCTTCTCATTCCTACGATCATCACTTTCTATCTTGATGTCCATCGCTTGTTGAACCTTTTCACAGCCTCTGTGTAATGGTGTGTATCTATATAGCTCAGCATATTTGAGTGGCGCTAAAGGGAAGGAAGGTTTGTGATTACTTGCAAGAAACACAAACTAAACTTTATAAACCACCTTTCCCGAGATTCCTGTTAGAGTTAGTTAGAAATAACTCATGCTTATTAATACAACCTTTGTAGAAATAAAAACTAGGATAAGATCACTGTTTCATGGGATCTTCTCAACACAATTCCCCCAGTTACACGTCAGTTGCAATCTCTTCCCACAATTCATATACTTCAACAATCCAACACTTACACGGTACACATCATACTCACACAAGGTTTGTATGGTCTTCTTTTCAATCATTAAGACTCACTGATATACTCAATTAATAATCATTAATCAATAAATTTATTGTTTATTTTTACCTTACATAATCATTTATTCAGAAAGAAAACGTTTAAACAGACAGTTTAATCTTGCAAGAAAGAAATCTTCTACTCTCACTTTTTTTTTAAATTGACATTGATTTTCCTAGTAATTTCTATACCCAGTTGGTAGCTTTCTCCGAACTGAAAAGATAGAAATTTGATTCATATATTGCCGAATTAGTAATCTGTTTCTCTTCTTTGAGAAAAAAAAAATATTCATTTCAGTGAAATGGAGAAGAATCCATTACTGGAACTCTAAACTCACCGGCCTAAAAGAAAAAACAGATTGGGCTCCCGTGTAAAGGTCCACCTAAGAAAACAGGCTTTGATGAAACTCCCTTTGTCTTTCTTTTACTGCACCGCTATGATTACTACCGGCACCTCAAACTAATACTAAAAAGACTAAAATATTCTTCTGGCGCCACTTCATTGCCGCTACTACTATATTATGTCTTATTCTCTGCTGCACCTCCAACCCCCCGGTAGCAAATTTAAAGAAAATATTTTGGTATGGTAATTTTTTTTTTGGGTATACAAATATATAAAATAAACTAAAGTTTAAAAAAAATATTTTCATTTCCCTATTAGTTTCTATATCATAAAAATAAAAATTTAGGGGGACCAAGGCCCCTCACTCATTATTAAACTCTAATACTAATTAGACTCTCTAAAAAAAAGAAAACTAGGAAAAGAGAGTAAACACAAGCGTGTTGAAAAATTTGTTTCAAAAACTTTATTCTTAAAAAGCATCTATATAAACATCTATATGCTTTAAAAAACTTATTCCGAAAACACGTTCTATAAAATATCTTATATGTTTCCAAATCTTCTTGTAGAAAAATTTCAGAATTGGTAATATAACAGTCACTAATTTAAATTTAAAATAGGGGCGCAGTTAGTAATTATGACATGCAGGGAGTAAAGTCCCGATTTTTAAACGCAAGGTTCATTTCTGAATGTGTACCGATATCCTAACCTTAAATTATGCTTAAATGCCACCCTTCTCTCACATAAGGTTTTCCAAAGTAAGTCACACTAATTAAAAAAGTTAATTAATTTATTAGTAACATTAAACTCGTTAACTCTAAACTCGAATAAATTGCTGCTGTCTTATGAGACACATATGTATGACATACCTCCGTCTTTCACCGTTGGTCTTATTCTTTCACTTCATTGTGCTGCTTCCTGTGCAATGCTAACATCATGTAAAAGACAATTTTGAAAACAATTATATAAGGATGAAGTTTTTCTAATTTAATGAATATTTTATTTAAACAATTTAACTATAACAACGTCAAAATTGATATACTGTGTATAATATTCTAACAATAACAGTGATACTATAAGATAATAATTGTGATACATAATAGTTATTACTGTAGTAGCTAAAGATTATCGGTACGCAATAATAATTTTAATTTATTGGTAATCAGTAATTATAATAACGATAGTATTAAAAATAATATTAATATATAAAAGTATTTGAAGTAAATGACTTATAGTGAATTGTATTTAGTTAACATTTTAGTTTATTAGAATGTGACAAGGTTTTATATAATATAGATTGGTCTGATATGTACTTCATATGACATCTTTAATGCCATGTTAATGTCATATATAAACATTAGATATGTACTCCTAATAAAAATTCAATGTTCCACTTGGACGTTTTGGATTAATTTGTAATCATGCTATTAATAATCATGAACATTTTTAAGACCCTGAATCATGCTAGATTAGATTATGACGCTAATGGTTGGAGTGATTAGGAATATATTGTAAATTAAATGGTACGATAAATATAGCACTATTTTAAAACTACTTCCATGACCTTTTTTTTTGGCCTAGACAGATTAACTTTATATGGTTGACGCAGCTACCAACTCTGTTATTATATGGTAAAAGTTCATAACGTTATGAAAAAAAATCATTTAAGGAAGTAAAGGATTTGTTTCGTTAATCAGTGCCTAACTTAAAAAAGTACGTTAATCCAAGTGGACTGTGACTGGGTTTTCTGCTACACATAAGAAATGAGATTCATTTTAAAGCAACGTTATCATCCAAAGTGATGTGAATTTCTCAGAATTAACCAAGACCATCTTCTTTTTTCAAGAAATAGAATTTGTACTTTATTTATGGTGGTCAGTTGATGAAAGATGGACAATAGAATCGAAACATCATGATGATTACAATCCTTAAAAACTACTCTAAAATTATTTATAATTTTTTATGTCTTGAAGATTATGAAACTCATGAGCAGAAGTGGACCCTTGTGAATTGTTGGACTAATTAACTGAGTCAATAACAGCAGTAAACACTGATTTGAATGACAGGGAAGGAACTAGCATGTAAATCACTCTGATAAAGATGTCATCAATCACTTTATAAGCCACGTTTCAACTTCAATTCTTTTAATCATAAGGAGAGAGACAGAGAAAGCGATGATGAGTTGCATGGACTGTGAAAGTTCACCACTCTTTTACGCCACAGACCATAAATAAAGAAACAAATAGGTTTTCAGCACAAACCAGTATGTTGATAGCGCAATAGCTCATGGAAATCATGAAGGGAAAATCTTTTCCCCTCCCTAATAATTGACTCCCAGAGTTTTCAGCTTTCTGTTTCTACCACTAATCGATTTCTTTATGACCTTTTCCCCTCAATTTTAGGATACTGGTGGCCTAACATATCCACATTGATAATCATTCATGATAATATATGGTGCATGGAGTGCACCACTGCTTATGACGATTGATGATATCAACTTCTTGCAAGAAATTGGTTTTTCTTTTTGTCTTTCTATCGATATGTATCTCACAGAAATCAATTTTCACTAACAAAATATAATGAGGAAAATGTAAGTTCACATGCTGTGCTCTTACACCTTTTTAGTCTAGTCAATTATAGCAGTGTATGCAGTACTGAGTTTGTGTATGAAGGGTCTACAGAAGCACAGCACTGCATTATAATCTGAAGAAGTTGTCCAAAATGTGGGGACCCCACTACTGGTGTATGTCAAAAAGAAATGACACGAAGGAATCAATCCCATAACACTTTAAGGGTCTTCCATTCGTCTGTGTTTCCTCCATCGGTTACTTTGTTTGAATTTTCTTTTAAAAAAAGTTGCTTGACACTATTTTGACAATCATTTGAGATGTAAAACATGATAAAAATAAATAAATTTTTGTATTTATAAAAAAAAGTGAAAAGTACAGAAGATGTTTCGGTACAGGTCGAGTCACCTAAGTTTTGCACAATTTCTTTCAAGTTTTGTCCGGTCAATACTCTTTTCCGATCTTTTATCCACCGCCGACCGGAGGTGTACCTGACAAAGGTGCTCCGATGCCAAAATTAGTAACAGTCTCATCTATAATCTAAGTGCTGTAATAAATACGCAATTAATGAATCTACTTACCTTTTACCTGTATTTATAGTTTTGGTTACGGTGGAGGTAACAAGATTTTAATAAGGGCCCAATTACAGCCCAATCACTAATTAATTAGAGCTTTACCTTAGTCAGGTGGAAGTTTGCTTACCTTCTGCAGCCGTCCGGCCTCATCACTACTCATTTATCATTCGGTTCTGACCCTCTTGTGAATCTTCTATTACAAGGACTTTACTGTAATCAACTAGAAGTTCGCTTACCTTCTGCTGCCGTCCGTCCTTATCACTATTCAATTGCTGTCCGGTGCTGGCCGTCCGGGACTCCTCCGGTACAAAAGATATTGTTAAATAAGAGAAAAAGAAAATTTTGGGTGTGAAAATAGTCCTTTTCTTTTATACTGAAATAAGAAAGACATTAAACCTTGGGTTATGGCATTTGATGAAAAGTTCCAACAAGATGGTTTTGTAGTGTAGTGCTTCGAAACGCATGTGACGGGATGGATACGATACATGGTTGCAATTCGCAAGGAACCAGACACATGCTTTGGGTATCCCTCCACCAGTCACTTCCCCATCTTGGGATGTTGTCTCTTATTCAATCTCGCTCCCATCATAAAATCATCACCACTACTTCTAATAGTCTGTCCAAGATAGTAATTTGGGATAAGAAAGAGAGAGAGATAAAGGGAAAAAGTGATCAATTGTTATTTTTTCGAGTGAACTTAGATTCGTTTTTAATCGTCTTTCGATGGTCGAGTTCTACAGTTAAAAGTTTGATGAGTTGAGGTTTAAAAGCTGATTTGAAATCCAAATTTTGGTGTTATAGTTGATTTAAAATCTTGTAAGTAAGTTTCGATATCAAAGTTAACGTTATCTTCTTATTCTTATTTTAAATATATATTTATAGGTTTTAAAATAATTTCTTTATTAAGGTTAATTGTTCTTATTTATAATCGATTGGTTCACTTTGATGATCACAAATCTTGAAAATAACTCATGAATTTAAATAAAAGATAATAATGTAATTTATGACTCATCCAACCATCATATAATACAAATCCATTAATATATTACTTATCCTATTGAAGAAGTTTAAATCTTTTAATCAATGTGTTTTTATACACAAATTTAGAATTGAATCTATGGTAACATGTTAAGAAAAAATTGACTTTCAGTTAAGCCATATCCTATCGAAAGGTTTGGAAATGAAAATGACAGATTTTGGATTCAAATTTTTCAGCAAAAAAAAAAAATAATAACTAACATTTGATAAAAAAAATATAA